CCCCACCACTATTAGATCAGCTTGGCCACTACATGAATATTTTCAGAGATCTGATGATAGGGTCAAAGTAGCATATCTAGTTTCTCAATTTATGCCCACTTCCTTCTGGTAAATATTGACACATAATTAAGTCTTTTCTTGAGATTTTGTAGTTTTAAATGGGTCTTACTTCTTACCGAATGTGAAAAAAGAGTATGGTGTTCCTTTAGCCCTTGGCACAGTAAATTCTCCTACTTTAAGCCGTTTTCAAAAATATTTTGAAAACCACTAAACATATGCCTTAAACATACAAAAAAAACAGATATTTTGCTGGAGGAAATTAACTGCCGGAGAAAAGAGCCTAAAGAAATTTAGGACTGAGAAGAAGAAAAAAAATATGTATAAAACTAAAAACAGAAAACAGCCTAGCGGGTCTTACCAGCTTTGATATTAAGATGCAGTATACAGAGGCAACCTACTTGAGAGAAACTTACTTTATTCTCCAAAGATTTCAAGGTATTATGAGGGAGATGATGGAAGGTATACTTCAGTATCGTCAATGGCTTGCATAATACCTCTCGGTTATTATCCCACGTGTACCTATGTGTGCAGGTATATGCAACCACATACACATCACTTATATCTATTTGGTATGTCCTTTTGGGTATCAGTGTATTATATTTTATCAGGGGTAGTTGTAGGGTTTTGTTGAATTAACTGGAAGAAAAAAGAGGTACAAAAATATTAATAGCCAAATTTATAGAGCACTTATTATATGCCAGCGTATTTATAGGGTACTTAAATGGAGTATATCATTTAAACTCCACAATGACCTGAAAAGTTTCAGTTCTAAGGTGATTTAATTTTAGAGATGTATACTGTGAGGCCCAGAGAGATTGGGTAACTAGACCACAGGTACACAGCGGATACCCGTGGTTAAGCCCAAGTAGTCTGTCACTAACCAGGACATGAACTGTTACTGTGTGTGCACCTGCTGTTTGCCACCACACCCTCTCTGGCAATTACTGGTGGCCAGTGTTTCCTCTGGTGATTTTCCTATTACTCAGAGAGAACCGTGAATATTAAGGGAGCTTGAAACTTCCAGGAGGGCATGCCCATTCTCCTCCACCACCACTCTGGCCCTCTTAGATAACCTCATCACTCATGTATTAGATTTCCCAGAACAAGGTCTCCAGACTTTTCTAGGACAGATTATACTTTCCATTCCCCTTAAGAGTTACTAGTAGCAAGCAGGAGTGTTCTGTAGCGAGAAAGCTTAGCTTCTGCTCTCACAAGCCTAGAGTCTGTCCATGGTGCCTTACTCAGACATGTTCACACTGGAAAACCACTAGTGTTCTTCAGACTGGACATCCAGGACGAGGAGGAGCACAGAATCGAGGGCATAGCCCTGGTCTCAGCTCTGCTACTCAGATTTGTTACTAACCTTTCCTGGAGGTCACTTTTTTCATCAGTAAATTAAGAGAGAAAGAACTAACATTTCTTGAGCACTGGTCATTAGTCACAGTGTCTTAGTGTCTTCTGGTATGATATTCACTCTTCTTGGTGGTCTCATGAGGCAGATAATATCCATGTTAGCAAGTGAGGAATGCAAGGTTTTAGAGAAGATAACTGTCCAAGGGCATGGTGTGACACCAGAGCCCATTTTCTGCCCATCGTGGACACCCCTCAGTAGATGACATCTGAGCCTCCTTTTAGTTCTGCATTGGAACAAATCTGTAACTGAGTTTTACAGTGACTATGGAATAGTGCAAATGATAGGCATCCCTTAAGCTTAGAAAGGATAGTTTTAGGATAAGTACAAAGAAATATTGATATACATTTCATACAAGTTTGGGAAGCTTACAATTTAAAATGTAGCATGTGTTGAAATTTTCAGGTTAGTTTGAGAACAGTTTAGAGAAAGCAAAGGGTGATGATTTCTCCTAAAGGAAGTGAAGGACTATTAAACTTTGAGAAACAACCATGCTTTTCCACAAAGTTTGCCCTGGAGTCACCTCTGATACAAAACCATTGGTTGCAAGAGCCTTTATAAAGAACACTTTCAAGTTACAAGAAATTTAGAAAACGGTCTTTGAGAGATATCAGCCAAAGACTAAAATTTCATTCAGACTTAAATGGCTGAAGCGATACAGGTATAAATCAGAGATATCATATGATTTCTTCACTTTCTTTATGAGGCAAGCCATGCCATATTTTAATATACCTTCTCAATAGTGACTCAAGTATTTGCCTCTGAAAAATTTTGCCTAGTCTAAGAACTTAAATGAACTGGTATACCAGTGGGATGAATAGAGTTTAAATGATAAGCTGGTTCATCTTATATATATAATCAAAATTAATTCTGTTTTAAAATTCATCTTTAAAAACATTTGAAAGAATGTCCACAGAGAGTTAAGTTGTTGGAAAAAGTAAAATTTAACTCCTTTCCCAATATTTTGAAGCAATTGAGATTATCGAATGTTGGTGCTGGAAACTATCTTGACCCTTTAGGACATTCAGTTCAATCCGCTTCATTTATAAACGAGTCAACTGAGGTCCAGATATGTGAACTAATCTGCCTAATATCACACAGTTTGTTAGTTGCTGACATTGACATTGGACTAGGCTCCAGATCTCCTGGGGCCAGCCCAAGGCTATTTCATCACACTTTGTTATTGTCCCTAAATAAACCTAACCAAAGCTACAGTAGAGAGTCACACAGGTTAGCTGAAGGAACCCTGGAGGTAAGTTCATCTTCCTCATTTTTACGGTTGAGACATCTATGACTCAGAGAAGGGGAATGACCTGCCCAATGTGGCAGCAGGATTAGAATCCAGGTCTTCCATCGCTGAATATCGTTCTTTCTTTACAACTTTCTTACTGCCTCCAGGCTTTGCCAGAAGCAAGGTGCTATATTGTCATTTCTGTTGAGTGTTTTTTTCACTGAAAAATCTGTATCAATACAATTGGTTACCAATAAAATTGCTATTTTTATTTTTATTGTGCATAGTTGTTCCAGTTAAGTCAGAGTTGGCAGTTGAAATTTTGGAGAAAGGCCAGGTTCGGTTCTGGATGCAGGCTGAGAAGCTATCTGCCAACACCAAGGTCACCTACATATTTAACGACAAGGAGATTTTTGAAGGGCCGGTATGTTTTATGCTTTTTAGATTCTAAACTTATCACTGTAGAATGTACTGAGGAAGCCCTATTAAGATGCGGGTAAGTTGTCATGAAAACCACTGAGCATGGAGTGGTGGGGTTTAAGTCATTTCATATGTGAAAAAAAAAAAAGGAGAGGAAAATATAGATTGACTATATCATATTATCCAAACTGGGACACTTCTGAGAATGAAAGAGGGTTCTAGTAATAATTTTTCCAGGACAACAATCGAACCAAAACTGTCCCAGGCAAACCAAGAAGTATTGTTACCCGTGCAAATGGAGCTGCTCTCCTGAGAAGTCAGAGGAGCAAGAACGCTTAACTAAACTCACATACTCCCATCAGAAACCCCAACAGGAACTTGGTTCTTCACGGGGGAAGAAATGGCTTTTATTATTCTGATGGCTCAGAAAAAATTACAGTAAAAATATCTTTCATTGGTCTTCTGGTTAAAATGCAATACATTTTTATTGTAAGAAAAACTTTAAAGACTCAGAAGAATCACAAATTCTTACCGTTTTGTAATACACATATCGGTTTATACTTCTTGGTCTGATTCTACACTTCTGTGTGTGTATGTCTATTGATATCTTATTTACATAGGTAGTTGTGTATATCTACTCTTTGCTTTGCTTTCAACACATAGTTTCCATAGACAGAGTTACAACATCTGCACTTTATTTGTCTTCCCTAGATATCAGTAGAGCCAGGATCAGGCCAGCACTCAGTGGTACTGAAGAATTTGGGTTTAGGAGCTCTGGCTCTTACCTGTGCTATCACGGGTATGAATGAGAGACTCAGAAGATGGGAGAGAAGTGTGACTTGTGGCCAATATTAACAACCTGTTCTCCTTTCATCAAGATATGTTTTTAAAACATTTCAGAATTCGTTAGTGAAGGGGAGAATGAATCACATAAATAGCAAAAAATATGTAATGTATTTCTTTTCAACTCATTTAGCAACTGTGTATAGAGCCCGAATAGGTCACGCAGAGTCCACTGTGGCCCATCTTCTCCCTGTTTTCAGAATTTTCTCATTGACTGTGTGCTCATCACCTGACCAATGGAGGGGAAGGAAAAGCAGCGTTGGCATCACCCTCTGACCACTCATGCACACGTGCACATAGACACACTCCCCTTCATGTGTTCGCACACGCTTTCATGTTGTTGCCCACATACACATACGTACCCTGAATGTGGAGACCTGCCCATTGTCATCGAAATTAGTTCTTATACTATTTCATTGGGTGGAAATTACAGTCTTAGGCTAAGTTCCTTAGAAGGACAGTCTGAAATAAGTTTCTCTTCCAATTGATTTATGGGAGAGTACTCTCAGGAGTGGGGATTAGGGAAACAAGCTAAAGTAGATGACAGCTAAGCAGGAATGTGGTCTCAGTCGGAGACTGGCTTCCTTCAGGGGAAGCTCTAGGGCATGAATTGCAGCACAGAGTTGATCCCAGACGTGAGCCTTCATTCTGTGACAAGTTATAGGAGAACTTTATTAATTCCAATCCATTATAGAACTTGTGCTTGTATGCCAGAGCTAAGATTTGTCTTTACATTGAAAAGAAGTTGCCTAAGCAGTATGATAAAATAAGCACAGTTCAGTAGGGCAATTTCAGTTTATTAAGAACAAATGGACTTCAAATGCTTTGGAAGTATTTTTATTCACATGTGAATTCAGCAGATATTTATTAATTGCCTGCTATATACCATGCATGTACAAGATGCTAGGGATATAATCATGAATGAGCCAAAACACATCTGCATGCTGCCTATTTTTTGCATTGTTCTGCTAATTGAAGCTAATGTAATCTGGAAGGTAAAATGGGAATCTAAAAACACGTTTTTGACAAAATTTGTGACTTGGGATAATAAAACTTTATTTGTATTTAAAAAATTAAATTTCAGAGATTTTAGTAATCATTTCTGGTCAAGGTCATCTATTCCATGTAATGTTTTCCTTTTCCTGGGCACAAGATTTTGAAAGCTTGCATCTAAAAAAAGTGTGAACAAGAAAATGTGTTAACATTATGATTCTTTGGAGTTTGTGTTTATTCTATCAGGCATCCACATCATATCTAGCTCACTGATTTCTGTTTTCCTTTTCACACTGAAGAAATATAAGATGCATGTTGACCGAAACACTGGCATAATTGAAATGTTCATGGAAAAGCTACAGGATGAGGATGAGGGCACATACACTTTCCAGCTTCAAGATGGAAAAGCAGTTGGCCATTCTACTCTTGTTCTCATTGGAGATGGTACGAATTCTGTGAAACATCAGCTGAAAGATTTCCCTGCTTCCTTCAATGCAAACACCCATGGCACAAAAGTAGTCGCATGGAAGGCAGTAGGAATTGCTTCTTGTATTTCAAAGTTGGAATCCAATTTTCAGTTAATACTTTCCATAGTACTTCATTTCATAGACACCAGATTTATCCTTAGCCCACAAGGAAGACTGCAGTTCAGTCATCTCATATATAAACAAGTATTTATTACTAAAATTCTCCAGTGGAGGAGACTGCAACACAGCCAAGTCTGTATATGTATCTCAGAAACGATGCTCCTACCTTATATTGTGTACTTACTTTAAATTACTTAACTTAAGAAGAAAAATATGAAAAGTAGTGTATGCCAAACCAATTAGTCATACTTTAGAACTAGATTATATGTCAGCTGCCATAAGCCACTGTAGAAACCACCAAGATGTAAAATGTGGCATTTAGCAAGTGTGGCATTTGGGAAGGTTGGCCAGATCTCTACATTTGCAACTTCCGATACTGCTTCACTATTTCCTAGCGCAATGACCTTAAACAATTTACTTAACCTTTCTAAGCCTACTTCTTCATCATGAAGACTTACGACAAATAGGGGGTCATGATGTATGAGTGTTATAATAATGAGTACAAATCACTTAGCACGGTGACTGGCATATACATTTATACCACTCAACTCAGTTTCATACTTCTTTATTTTTCAATCTTTAGTTTATAAAAAGCTCCAGAAAGAAGCTGAATTCCAGCGGCAAGAATGGATCAGGAAACAAGGTAAAAATGGGCAGTGAATAAAAAGAATAACTTCAATTTCTTGAACAAAATATTCCAAGATTATTTCCATAACAAGTTAAAATGCATTATTTTTTGCTTATGTTACTAATGCCCTGGTAAATAAAAAATAATTGAAAATATTTATTATTAAATATGTATCCATTTAAATATTTGAAAATTAATCTTGAATTTTAAAATATCACTTCACACATGTATCGCTTTAGAATTTAAGAATGAGCTTTGATTTTTGCATTTGTGGTTAATAGGGTGATTACTGATGTCATTAAAATTTTATAGGTCCTCATTTTGCTGAGTATTTGAGCTGGGAAGTGACTGGTGAATGTAATGTACTATTGAAATGCAAGGTAAGAAGTAGATAAGTTTTTAATATTTGATATAAGGGAAATAAAGATAAAATAGAATGTGAGAAAAGGAAGATCAATTTTTCATCTCCTCCATTTGAACCAAAATGCTAAGTGACACATTCTTACTGTTGAATGTTACTGTAATCATTGGTTGGTAAGAAGCATAAAGTAAAATGAAACATAAAATAAGATAAAACAACATAAAAATATGGGAAGACAAGATGATGGCTCCTATTCATTACACCTTAGCTAATAAGGACTGGCTCTTCTTTTCTTTTTTTAAGACTTTGTGGGTTTTTTTTTTAAAAGCTTTTTAATGTTTATTTTATTTTTGAGAGAGAGAGAGGCAGAGACAGAGTGTAAGTAGGGGAGGGGCGGAGAGAGAGGGAGACACAGAATCTGAAGCAGGCTCCAGGCTCTGAGCTGTCAGCATAGAGCCCAACGTGGGGCTCAAACTCACAAGCCATGAATCATGACCTGAGCTGAGCTGGGTTGCTTAGCTGACTGAGCCACCCAGGCGCCCCAAGACTTTACATCTTTTACAACAATTTTAGGTTCACAGCAAAATTGTAGGGAAGATATAGATATTTCCCATATACCCCGCCTGTCCGCACAAATGTACAGCTTCCACCTACGTTACATCCCCCACCAGAGTTGCACATTTGCTACAATTGATGATCCTACACTGACACATGATAATCACCCAAAGTCCATAGTTGACATTAGGGTTCACTCTTGGCATTATATATGCTATGGGTTTGGACAAATATGTAATGACTTGTATCCACCATTGTAGCATCATTCAGAGTTTTTTCACTGCCCTAAAAAGCAAAAAGCCTCTGTGCTCTGCCTATTCATTCTTCCCTCCCCACTCCCAACTCTTTAAAAATTATTAATCTCAGAAGAATCTCACATGGTCTTTGTTTGAGGCCAAATGTGCATTCTAACTAGTAGATCTATTCCACGATCATTCTAGATACACTGTCCTTCCCTGGAAATTTAGCAATTTCGTATCTATATTCTGTGACTGGTGTGACAATTCCTTTGAGTGTTGGCTAGCTCAGAGGCTGGTTCTGGAACCAGCATGCTGCCAGGAGGGGAGAGGTTTGATGAAGAGTGTACAGCTCTCATTAGGCCTTGGGAAAGATTTAGAGGAAAAAAGGCTATATCACACCCTTAATCATTTTATACCTTAGCACATGGTGTGTTCAGCCGAGTCACCAAAATGTTTTGGACAGGGAACTGCTGGATGAGGTCGGAGTGTAAAGGTCATGACAGCAGACAGTGGCCCCAAGTAGAAGCATGGATCTGGCATTTGGCACTAGCAAAGCCAGAGAACCCAAGCGCCCCCGTCTCTTCTAAGTCTGATGAAAGTTACAGAAACATCAGTCTCCCAGAAAGGTGTCTGAAAATTAAATTCTAGGCTTTAGTCTCAATGGAAATGGCAAAGCTTCCTAAAAACAGTTTCTCAGGCAGCAGCCAAAACCCTCTCTCTCCTCCTGGCTGTCCACTGCCATACAGCCCCTGGCTCACTTTCTCCTCCACAACTGCCCACCCCGCAAACTACCCTTTCCCAGGGGCCCACACATCTATCCTGCTTCTTTCTGTACTACCCACCTGTTGTACTAGCCTTTTGGGATGTGAGCTCCGGTGTCCTGTTCTGATGGCTTTCCTCAGGAGAATCAGCCCCTTGCCCAGATTCTGAGCAACCACGGAAGCCTAAAAATAGAATCTAGATATTCATACATTATGTACTTATGCTGTTCCAGTGCCTGTTCCTTACGCTGTTTCAGCTTCTCCAACAAAATCCTTTCGCTAGTCCCAGCTTAGTCATCTTTTCTGTAAGACCTTTTCCTTCTTTGTGCAGGTAGAATGAACCTTCCTCTGTCTTCCCATAGCTCTTTGTTTCATTATTAGAGCAGTTTAGGCGCATTTAGCAATTTATATATTCATTATAGTTAATGGAGTATGTGTAACTAAACATTCAGACTCATGAGACTATCATGGACCCCATTTGGAACTAGTCTACTCAAAAGAATATAGGACAAGAACCCCAGCATGCCTGCAAGGCAGAGCTGGGCACTCCTCTCCTGCAGGAATCCACGCCACCATTTTCTTCATCTGTTTGTTATATAGTTTGTTATATAGTTGTATTTCCTCTTTGGGGAATTGTGTGTGCATTTCTTCAGTTGTTCAGTGGGGTCTTAAGGATTGTTCTCTTGATTTGTATGAAGTCTTTACTTTTGACACAATATTAATTACACCAGAAATACAAGAATATAGTCTTCTTTGTAGAAAATGCAAACATTGTAGATAAAGGTCAAGATCCCTTTAACTGTACGAGTTTGAAACTTATGATGTTATGATGTATGGATATAGGATTTAAATGAATTTCCTCAAAATTGCTAAGCAATTAATTTACTAAACCATACTTGATGGTTTTTAACTAAACTTACTGTGAGAATCAATTCACAATATATACATACATCAAATCAATATGCTATATACCTTAAACTTACACATTGTATGTCAATTGTATCTCAACAAAACTAAAAACATTTTAATTAAAAAATGTTTTCACAAACATACTTCCCTTCCACACTTCTTTGCAAAGCTTCAGTCATCTTTTTAAAAATATTTAGATATACATTGGGGCTTGCTCATTCTGTTCTTTTGATAAAGCCATTTGTTTTTGTGACACAGGCTATATTTTAATGTGATGGGATGTGTCTTCTATGGTTTTCAGATATTTATTATTTATTTTATTTAAGTATACATGTTAACATGTACATATCTATTCTTTTCTGTCCACCAAACAATCTTAAAGTCAATTTTTACTGCTAGAAATAGGTGCCATTGATTTAGGTTTATTCATTTGTATCCATTTTATTCTAAACTCTTTACCAATTAAAATTGCTTTCAATTGATCCCTTCGGATATCTATGCCTTCTGGAGTTCCTGGGTGGCTCAGTCGGTTAAGTGTTTGACTTTGGCTCAGGACATGGTCTCAAGGCTCATGGGCTCGAACCCCGTGTCAGGCTCTGTTTTGACAGTTCAGAGTCTGGAGCCTGCTTCAGATTCTCTGTCTCCCCCTCTCTTTGCCCCTCCCCTGCTCATGCTCGCTTGCTCTCTCTCTTTCTCTCTCTTTTTCTCTCTCTCAAAAATAAATAAACATTAAAAATTTTTGAAAAAAAAGAAATCTATGTCTTCTAATTTCATGCATTTCTTCTGTCCAATGCTACATTAGAAACTAGTTTTGTAAGAGCAGCATTGCCTTACTTCAAGAAGTATAATTATGGCTTTTCTTCCAGGTGGCAAATATTAAGAAGGAGACTCATATTGTGTGGTACAAAGATGAAAGAGAGATATCAGTGGATGAAAAGCATGACTTTAAGGATGGCATATGTACACTGCTTATAACAGAGGTAGGTGACTATAAATGTGAAATGTAATTTGTTAGTTCTGTACCCTACATTCTTCTAAAACAAGAGATAAGATTCTGTATTCCTTGACTCCAGGCATTTGTAGTACCTTACTTCTAGCTGCTCCAAAGATCCCTGCCCTAACATCACCCCAAAAATACACAAAGCATAGGAACACAAAAACTCTCACTTTGTGATAATGCATGGATATGTCAGATATCCAACCAATATTGGTTAGACACCACAACTCTGGCCTCTCTAAGCTACTTCGTTTCATAGATGGGTGAGGGGCAAGGCAATTAAGTAGATTCTTCTTGGTTTGCTCTTAAGCCTCATGATAACTTGTTCCCTCAAAGTACAGAGACATCAGGCATAGTATTCATGTAAGTATAGGGTGTTACCTCCTTTTTTGTCTAAAAGGCCATATCTTTCAAATATATGTGATCATTAGTTTTTAATATGAAGGAAAAGTAAAGAATAAGGACTTCACAGGCTTAGAGGGTGAAAAATCAGGACCGCTAGCTGGTGAAATGATGATGGACACGTCCGTCTATGAACTCCTCATTGCTCACATAGCCAGATGCTTGTTTAATGTGTGATTTGATGGCAGTTCTATAAACCAGAGGACCTTAAGAGTGCAAACACGGTACTCTGAGGCTGCTGGAAGCTGCAGTGTGGTGTATCCATCCCCCCCTTAGTTTTCCAAGAAAGATGCTGGGATTTATGAAGTTATCCTGAAAGACGACAGAGGAAAAGATAAGAGCAGACTGAAGCTTGTGGATGAAGGTCAGTCCACCAACTGGGGGGGTCCATTTTGTGTGTTCTGTGTACAGGTTACCAGACTGGTGAGTAAGGCTGAGTGACAACTGAAGTCCTGCTGTGTTTGTCCACAGGTTTTGTTTTAATTGAAACTCCAGCAGAGTGAACGACTGTTTTATTCAAAAATGCTTCACGTTTAGTCTTCATGGATATCAAAAGTGTACTTTAGGCGTTCAGAGAATTTGTAGTCCATGGTCCCCTAGGGTTCCATTTTCAATATAAAGCATCGTTTTTGTTTCAACCGTATAAAAAATGTTCCAGGATCAAGAACTACTGTGAGGGGCGCCTGGCTGGCTCAGTCGGAGGAGCATATGACTCTTACTCTCAGGGTTGTGAGTTCAAGCCCCACATTGGGTTTACTTTTTAAAAAGATGTTCACTTAAAAAAAAATTCTATGAAAAGCATGTCGCCAAATAGTCCACTCTTAAAAGGTGGCAAGAAAGATTTATATGTGAACTGTGAAACCTCTCAGGTATTAGCAGAGCAAGAAAGAAATTTCCATTTTTGAGAGACTTCTAAGAACAAATATATCATGACAACAAAGACCTACCTGTGACCACCAAACTTCCAAGTGCATTCTTGGACAAGATCTTTAACAGTATTACTAACAGTGTGAGTCTGACTTCGATTTCACCTTCCTGCTCCTCGTGGAGGCAAGACTAAATGTGCTTATTGACAAAAAGCCTTATAAGGCTGAGAAATATCAGGGAGCCTGGATGGTTAATTCATTATGAGTTTATGGCACAGATGAGAAAACTTCCTCTTAGGTAAACTAAGACTTCTTGGGATTTAACAAGAAGAGAATCCTAAAGCCAAGAACCTTCCTGGAAATCTCACGGTGGCTTTCTCTAGAATGTATATATAGTTACAAATAATTAGAGGGGGAAAATATCAAAATAAGAGCAGGGACCTTTTAAAAGTTGATACAAATTGGGGCGCCTGGGTGGCGCAGTCAGTTAAGCGTCCGACTTCAGCCAGGTCACGATCTCGCGGTCCGTGAGTTCGAGCCCCGCATCAGGCTCTGGGCTGATGGCTCAGAGCCTGGAGCCTGTTTCCGATTCTGTGTCTCCCTCTCTCCCTGCCCCTCCCCCATTCATGCTCTGTCTCTCTCTGTCCCCCAAAAAAATAAATAAAAGTTGAAAAAAAAAAAACTTAAAAAAAAAAAAAGTTGATACAAATTAAAGTATTATTCCCTCAAAGAGTACTTATTCTCATATGGTCAGCAAATTCACCTTATGGCCAACACCCTTCACCAGGCAGGATAATGTTGACAACACATGCTACTAACAATTTGAGATTTGACCTTGTTGAGCATTTTTATGCTAAAGTTATGTCTGTGACTCTCTATCCACAGCCTTTAAAGAACTAATGACTGAAGTATGTAAGACAATAGGTAAGTTAAAATGGTCTCCCCATGACAATGCTTCATTATGCTCCTGGTTAGGCTTACAGCTGTATGAAATATACTGTTTTCCTCTTTCAGCTTTGTCTGCTACAGACCTGAAAATCCAGAGCACAGCCGAGGGCATACGGCTGTACTCTTTTGTTACTTACTATCTGGATGATCTGAAAGTTAACTGGTCCCACAAGTAAGTAAGTGGGAACTTAACTGCCCTGTAGAAACTCTTTCTCCATGTATGTGTGTGTGGGTGCACGCACGCATGGCAGGGGGGCAGGAGGAGGGCAACAGCAACCCTCTGTTCCTCTCATGTAAGGAGCCTTCTTACTTCTCAGGTCTGACGTTGATGTGTGTAGGATACAAGCACCCCCACAATTCCCTTAGAACAAGGTTAGCACTTTCCCTCAACATATACATGGAGAGGCCAGTGATGGCTAAAATCACCTGTCTTTGTGATTTGGGAACTATCATAATCCATACACGTCTCTATAATGCAACCTCCACCTCCAGACGGTAGACCTTGGGCTACCTCTGCTTTGCCGGGCATCCAGATCCAGATTCTGATTGTTCCCTCTCTACCTGCAGCTTAACCCCTGCTATCGTCTAGAACAAAACTGAAGCAGCATGCACCAAGAGGCACCAAGTTTCCTGTTATTTGAATGAATAGCCATTCGCTACAGAAACCTGACCCAGTGAAGTGCCTGAGTTTGTTGTTAGCGTTAATAGCAGTCGGCATAGTTGGGCATTAACTTGTTTCTCATCCACCCCTGGAAGGCTTTGGGGATTTGCGATTACTTTCAGAATGTGTGTTTGAGCTAGACTGAGCCTGCATATCTGTTCTAATCCCAGGGTCCTCTGTGGTGTTATAGGTGAACTCAAGTTCACCTCTGGGATTCTAAGAGCTGAAGTAGGTTTCTAAGTCAAACCAGTTCCCCATTATACTTTTGGCCGTGACCTCAACCTCTGCCCGTCCTTGAAATTTCCTGAGCTGAAAGAGAACTGCAGCCTAGCATAGACATCTGATGGGGTACAGTCCCCTTCAGTCCACTCTTTGGATGCAGACCTCCTTAGCAGCCCCACTGGGCAGTAGGTCACTGTGGCAGCCCTGGGAAGGGGCGCACAACAGTGTTTATCTTCCCTACAGTGGGTGTTTATAACATGCTGGTCACTGCTCCACGCCCTTTCCATGTATGAATTCAGTTAATATTCACAACTCTAGGAAGCAAGTAATTCTCACTCCGTGATGAGGAAGCTCAGGCTCAGGGAGGTGATTTGCCTGAGGCCACACGACTAAGTGGTAGATGGAGAACTGAGCCCAGACAGCCTGGCTCCAGAGCCCCTCATCCTGGCACTACTCTGTGTTCGTGTTGCTTTAAAAGTCTAGATTGAACATTTAACCAGAGCTAGGTCCCACAAAATAGTCATTTGTGTTTTCTTTAAAAATGACTTTATTGTGATATAGAACACAGTTTTTATTCGTATTCTTATTCATTTCCTGAGTTCTTAAAAAAACAGAGCGGGGAGGGGGACGTGGGGGTGGGAAGAGAAGGAGTAAAATTCCAATTTGAATGCCTGGGGTTTCATTCCTTTGTTCTATTTCTTTCAGAACATTTTAGGAAAGTAATTATAAGTTAAAATAGATCAAATTCTAGGAAATTCCTCTGTGACAGCTAGGCCATCCTAATATATCAGTCTGAAGAATAAGAGAAGATAAATTAACTGAATCATCAATCAAAAGTCTTTACATCATCTTTAAAAGAATTACTTGTTCACAAAAATGAGAGCATTCAGTTTTGAGGAAACTGCTGTTAGACTAGCAAGGCATAAACCTCTGACTCTATTCAGTCTAGTCAGCTGAATGACTGTTTTATGTACCCCGGGTACCTATGAAAGATTCAGGAATCAAGGACTCATTGTCTTCACTGTCTTTATGTAAATATGCGGCATAACAGGAAAAAAAACCTTGAAATGGGCTTTAGTCTTGACTTGGCTCCTATCTTCCTTTGATTCTTGGGCCAGTCATTTAATTTTCTGAAATGTCAGGTTTCTCTCATATGAAATAGCAACAATAATACCTGTTTTATCTCATAATACTGATGGACCCAATGAGAGGATGAAAAAAGTTATGGCACTTTGTAAACCGTGAAGGGCTTTACAAATGTAAGGTATTATGCATGTTGGTCAGAGATTAGAGATTTCAAACAGATTTATTATAGCAAACCAGAGGACTATCTATCTTTCTAACTGTCTAAGACATATATATTGCTCAGACTCAAGTCTGTGGGTGCAGAGGGGCTCCATTACTGTTCATTTTATGGCAGTTTAACTTTTAATAGCTTTTAAAGAATGTAGTGTATAAGAAAAATGCTGTGAATGTTTATTTGAAAGCTGAAAATTTTTAGTCGTGATTTTTGTTTCTCTGTTTTTAAAGTTCATTTTGTTTATTACAACTACAAACATAATACATTGCTTCTTTTAGAAAATACACATAATATCATATTACATATCAGAAAGAGTTTATAATATGATATCCTCTCTAGTTTTCCTAGCCATAGGGTAAACTTTTTGGTGTACTTCCAGTCTTTTCTCTATGCATAATTGTTGCTATCATTAAGTAGTTTTGTGCCTTTTTTTCTTATTTCCTCTTGTGTTTACAAACTCTTCGTAAAGTTTCTTTTAGCATCATTGAGAGTATATCTACCTCTACCTCTCTCTTACCTCCTTTATAACAGTAACATGTCTGGGCCATCAGATCACAAAGCAAAGGGTTCTATTTGCTTTCATTCTCTTGTAAAGAATGCAATGTATGTGTCTGCTCATGACCTACTACAGAATTTAGAGAAACTCACGTTCAGGGAGAGAAAGTGCCTCATTCATTTTGGCAGAGATTCTGCTTTTCATTTACTCTAGGCCTTCCTACCAAGTACATATTTACATATGTTTTAAATAGCTTTGTAACCACGTACATGTCAATAGATTTCAGACACAGATGAACCTCCTTAAGTCTGCTTTTAATTATTTTGTAAAATCTGATTTATAGCCGTAGACCATCTGCGTAAAATATGCTGTAATATAACATGGAGTTTGGCCTTTTCACTTTAAAGATCTCTTAGCCCTACAAATAAACCCAAGCAAAAACAAAGATCATTAATACCACTGAGAAGTATCGGCGTTGCAATCAGCTAGGGCCCCACACTGCTGTTGGGAGTTAAATGTACAGACTGTCAGACCCCCTACCCTCACCCCCGCCCTGGGCCTTGGAATCCAAGTCCTGTGATGCAGGATTTTTCTGAAGCAGAACATATGTGGATCCCATGTTGTTTGAAAGCCTGTAAAACTCTATGGTGAGATCTTCAAGAAAGAGTAAAAATGAGCTCTGGATGAAAGCAAACAATAACAATGTTTTCTTTGATATGAACAGCGGGACTGCTATTAAGTACACAGACAGAGTTAAGAGTGGAGTCACCGGGGAGCAGATCTGGCTGCAAATCAATGAGCCCACTCCGAATGACAAAGGGAAGTATGTAATGGAGCTCTTTGATGGCAAAACTGGACACCAAAAGACAGTAGATCTTTCTGGACAAGGTAAATGGATATTTTGCAGGTTAGAAATTCCTGAGGAGGAGAGAGGGCTTTTAAAAAAGAATGAAGGGCGACAAGAAGCCATTACATTTGACTATTGAAAGATGATTGGGGATTTTAATCAAGTAGTTTAAATTTAGCGTGGTGGTAGAAGAAAGAATTCAGTGGGTCTTGGAGTATCAGTGAAAAGTATACAGTGGAGACAATAAACATGGAGAGAAAGAACTACCTTTTCAAGGTGCTTACAAAGAAGGGCGGGTTGATTTACAATCACTTGAGCAAGGACGATCACTGAAAAAGAAATGTGTTATGGTGATTGAAATTTGAGCATGTTTAATAGAGTTTAAGAAATCAGTTGAGATGGAAGGATTGAAGGTGGGAGTGAAGGGGAATAACCAATATATCAGTGTTCTGAAGAATGGAAGGCTTGAGATCTAGGGCTGAGGCGGAGGCGTTGACTCTGGGAAGAGCAAGAGATTCCTTTTCTTCAGAAACCAGAGGAGGGTAAATGTGAATTGGCAAAGATCAATATTAAGGAGAAGAGAAGAAAGTTGGAAAAGTTGGGTCCTTATGGCCTCAGATTTCTTGGTCATCTGCTGAGAGAATGGGGGCATCTGGAGAGAAGAGGAAAGAGGAGCAGGAAGTAGTGAGAAACATGGACAAACACAGACCAGAAGTAACACGCAACTATCAACCACAAGTTAAATGGTTAAAAGAGGTGGAAGAGGAAAGCGAGTGTGAGTTCCTCACGCACCTGTGGCTCTTGATCTGTCAGCCCCAAGGCCTTGAAAGCCACAGGGTCAGGATATTGTACCCTCAGGCTTTTAATGTGTAGCTTACTTATCACCATCCTTGCCTCCAGCTCCTGTTTCTATCATCCTCCTTCAAGCACTTGGGACTCTGCCTTGGGGTGTTCCTTCCACTGCTCCTGTCTAGCTTCTACCTAATATTTCTCAAGGAGACTGTGGACTGACTTTTTCTTCCACTTCTTCATGTACTCAAATGCAATCTAAATATCCCAGAACTCTTAGTGTTTTTGATCCTCAGAGAGTAGATTCACAATTCAGAGCACAGCCTTTTCAGTCCTACCTTGAGTTATTTTGTGCTGACTCCCCTTATCTTTACCCCCCATCTCCCACTCATTTGGACTGGAAAGATTCAAATGGGAGTGGTTGCCTCAGCCTCCCCCTTCCCCCCCCCCCCCCCCCCACTGTGCCTGAGTCACACACTGCAGTGACAGGGGATCTCTCGCATTTTGAAACACAACAGAAAATGGGAAACAGGAAGGGGGTGGATTTAAAAACAAAAACCAAAACCTAAAAAACTTTTTCTTTTACTCCCTGGCTCGCCAAAGCATATTGGTTCAGCGATGCCCATGTCTCAGTGTAGTGTGGGCAAAAGGAAGGGCACTGAACGCTCAGCTAGGGGTAGCCTAACTGGCCTACCTCCCCAGACTTGAAGCCTGACTTTGTGCTTATTCTTCCCATCCGTAAAAGCAGGGGGATGGACTGGTATTATGTAAATACTTTCTAGACATAAAATATCATGATTCTCAGACCAAAGAGGAGCTTAAAGAAGAGATGAGAGAGACTTCAAAATAAAGCTGCCTTTTTACCTGAAGCATTCCAAGCGGCTTGCTCTGCAGGCTCAGGGGGTAGAAGAGATTTTAGAACAGTGTAGCTCTCATTTTCTCATCTGCTGTCTTTTATCTCGGCTCCTGGCCAGCTCAGAAGCATTGCTTCGGGCCCACGCTGGCACACACTGTGAGTGCCATAGTTCCTGTGCCCTTTCACACAGATAGACGGGCCAGACTATGCAACATGGAAACACTTAACTGTCCAGCTAGGAAGCTGTGACGTACATGGGGGATGATTTATTTAATAACAGAAAAGCCTTTATGATGTTCAGGATGTTTAGCCACCTTTATTACCATTTTATCTTTGGCAGAGTGAATCTTTGCCTTTCTTTTTGAAAGGATGGTCTTGCAACCGAATTGGGAGCTTCTAAAATCCACTACTTCATCTTTTCTCCCTAGAAAGTATTTGCTTCCCCTGTGAAGTCCATCAAGTTGCAGAGTAAAGGAGGCATAGCCTTATTCAAAGTCAGCTTAGTCATGTCCGGACTGATCACACCGACCTCAGGCTGTGAATTTTAATCCACTCCTGTTGTGTCCTCAGTTCTGGGTGAGAACATTCTAACTTCTCTTTTTTTCTCTTAAAGCATATGATGAAGCCTTTGCTGAATTCCAGAGATTAAAGTAAGTCCCTTGCCATTTGCATGCACTGATTTCTCTGGAACATGGTGTGCTCAGGTATTCCCCCACCTGAGGGTTAGAGAGGGTCTTTTATTTTGGCAAATGCCTAAAAGCAACACTTCCCACTGCCTTGTTGAGCAGCAAGATGTCTCCCAGGGAATGAAATGCAGTCCAGGTTTCGCCACTTTGAAGTAACACTAAAACAAAATTCTTCTTTGTTTTCATGTTTGTTCCTGTTTCTCAACCACAGACAAGCTGCTATTGCAGAGAAAAGTAAGTAAAACCCCCTTCCCATTTATTCCTGGCATAGTTTCAAGACATAACTTTCATTTGTTTATTGTGACTGCAGATGGAGAAGAATGAATTTTTTTCCTTTCTTTTTTCTTTTTAACCTTCTACATGTGTTTTCATTTAGTCTCTTGAGGAAGAATGTCTGTGAAAGGAAGGTCTCAGGTTATATTTTAAGACTGTCACTCAGCTCTTGCGCTAACCACCCAGGTGTCCTGAGAAATCTCTGGGCACAAATTATGCAAGTTGTTAACCACTTGCAGCAGGCACAATGTGTCAGAAAAATTTATATATATTAAAGAACAGAAGAAATAAGAAACTTTGTGGGGTGCCTGGATGGTTCAGTCAGTTGAGTGCCTGACTCTTGATTTCGGATTATCTCACAGTCTGTGGGATCGAGGCCCACATCAGGCTGTGTGCTGATAGCATGGAGCCTGCTTGGGATTCTCTCTTTCCCTCTCTCTCTGCCTCTCCCGTGCTCATACTCTCTCTTTCAAGATAAATAAATAAACTTAAAAAAATTTTTAATAAAAAAAAAGAATTTTTGTACATTTGGCATCAGGTAAATCACTATCACTGATTTACTCCTGCATTTTCCTAAGAGCCTTTGTAGGATAAAAGCTGCCAAATAAGGCCTTCTTGAATACTTCACGGTCTGAGTGAACAAATGCCAAACTGTCAAGTCTGTGTACCCAGAAATGTGCTCACTACTAACTTCTGTCAGCTGTTTGCCTCACACATGGAGATTTCTGGAACTCCCAATCTTTTAGGATTTCAGGGGTCATGGACTAAATATCGTAATCATGCAGGTTCTCTCTGAGTGTGTGAAGCAACAATTTGAAAATGGTTGAAGGTTAAAATTGTAGAGTCAGTACTGAGCTGGAATGGAAGGGAACTGTAGGGGAGTGAGAAATGAGGTCATTGCCAGCCTTTTAGTGGCTCCGGGTCATTCAGGATGGAACTTTTCACCTTTGACTTGCACTGCTTCCCGCCTCCTTCCTGCTCCTTCCCTCTTCCTGCCCTTGTGCTGGGTTTGTGTGGCTGCTGCTAGTGGTGAATGGGGCAGGCACCGGGGCCCACTGTGGGCCAGAGGGGAGCGCTCCTTGTTGGTACCCAGTGTGCCTCTCCTGCTCCTGTACACACGCACAAGCAAATCCAGTGTCCACAGTTGGTGGCTACTCCCCATTCTCAAACTCTGGTGGGCAAGAAGCCTGACCTTCCTTCCAGTTCATGAACTCTTTCTGAAATTTCTGTATCAAAGCAGTTTAGAGCTGGAAGAGACTTTAGTGCTTTTCTAGCCCCATGTGTTTAATCTTTTATATGTTGGGAGATGCTTCATTCAAACACCATCTTTCACGCAGATCCAGTATCTGTGTGAAAGATATTTTACCAAAATGGGTAAAAGCTGAGTTAGCTTCATTGGAGTTGGGATGGGGTCTGAGCTCCCTGACTCAGTGCCCCTCCTCAGAGGGCCCCTAGAGGAATCCCACGTATGCTGTGGAGCAGAGCTGGGTGACATCATGTCCACAGCTGTAATGCAACCCTTCCTCCATGCCACAGATTAGGAGACTGGGGTCCACACAGGTGCCCTGCTTGATATCACACATCGGGTGTGGCAGGAGCCAAATGATGAGTTGAACTTACAAGTGGTGCAAGGTGCAATGGAATCAACAGGAGAAAGCAGTGAAGATTCAAGACTCACTCAAAGCTTTAGTCTTCTGACTTCGGGATCTAGAGTCACACGTTAATTAAAGTAGGCCTAAAATTGAGAGTGTGGTGGCTACTGCTTTAGTGGCAAACAGTATCCCTTTGAGCAGATTATACAAAGGTGTTCTTCTCTGGGGCTGGGCCAGTCACACCCAGAGCACAGGGCTTAGTGGGAGCAGGGGGGCAAGAGGTCAGCTCTGGATTTCAGCACCCTTCCCACACCTCGCCCCCTCAGCTGGGGCCCTTGCACTCATGCCCATAGATCGTAGCGCTACATACCAAGAACTAGTAGGAGACAAGAAAGAAAAGCTCTCTAGAAAAGTCCACAAAGAAAGCCCACAATTTGCATAAACCTCCAGATCTCATGGCATATAGCCTCCAATTATGCAACTTTTTTTTTTAATCATAGGGAAGCCCATAAAGGAGGCCAAGCAGAGTTGGAGGCTGTCCATAGAGATCTGCTCTGCCTCCTCGAGCTGAGCCCCACTGAGCTGCAGAAGGGCCAGGGCTGAAAATAGCTGTGAAAATTATAGAGCAGGTCTTGATGCCACAAAGCCATCCATCTCAAGCTGATAATTTAGGCACAGATAGAGGCACCCACGCACACAAAGTATCTGTATGAGGAAGGGTAACATCCACAATCACTGGATCATTTTCTTATTTTACATATTAGAAACAGGTATAAAGGAATTATAAGGAGAAGGAGGCTAAATTGGAAAGTTAGTTCCCTGGGGTGGTTTTGTGAATGGGATCACTGACGCTCATCATTTCAGTGATTAACCAGAAATGCCTATGCTTGCAGATCGTGCCCGAGTGCTGGGTGGTCTCCCTGATGTGGTCACCATCCAGGAAGGCAAGGTAAGCATGCACCACTCCTGTCCTCACGTCTTCCACACTAGCAATGGGTTCCAGTGGCCCAGACTTTGTTCTAAGCAAGTCCCCACCACTGCTTCTTAGGGTTCATTTCAGAATAGCCAGATTCAAAGCACAAACCAAGTCTGTTTTTTAGGCCAAGGATCAGGATACAAGTTCGCCTTACACAGGCCCATGTGGACCACAGAATCTATTTCCAGAGGTGCCCTTTCATACCATGAGAAGCAAAAAATGTTCGATCACAACTATATGACAAACACAAATGAACAAAGATGTGAACATTAATACCTAGTGGAAAATAGGCTGTCCTGTTAAATACTTCGCCTCTGAAGGGAAACATGCTGCTCAGCGAATTTCTGTTGGCTCTGTTTCGGTTGAAAGCTGATTTCTTTCCATTTAACTTTAAACTGGTATTTCCTGGCTCTGTAATCATCTCTTTGAAAAGCAATGAACGTAATTTCTAACCTGGAGTCATTCTCTTCATCCCTATGTTTCATGAGACAAATTTCAGGGGTGCCTGAGTGGCTCTGTCGGTTAAGCTTCTGACTTCAGCTCTGGTCATGATCTCACGGTCTGTGGGTTTGAGCCCCGCGTCGGGCTCTGTACAGATAGCGCAGAGCCTGGAGCCTTCTTTGGATTCTGTGTCTCCCTCTCTCCCTGCTCTATCCCCGCTCACACTCTGTCTCTCTCTCTCAAAAATAAAATAAACATTTTAAAAAAGACTAATTTAATAAGCCAGCCATAGGGGAGGGGTACCTGTAGTGGCACAAAACCCTTTCCCACCTCAGAAGGACACTGAAGACATTCAGTAGGTAGACTAGGGATAAAACAAGGCATGTAGAAAGGCTTTAGTGAGAGGCAGGTTTCATCCAGCTAAATTTCTTTGCGGGTAGAATATGTGACCACAGCTGACTTTAAGCTCAACCACTGCAGGGTTGCAGGTTTTCATGTTCCTCATCTAATGGGGTTCAAAATATTCAGCTCACTAGGTTGTAGTGAGAATTAAGAGATAGAATGTATATGAAAGCACTTTGTGATCTATAATGGCAATAAATCTAAAGTATGGGTAGTAGTTTTCCATGACACCTAAGGTATTTGAGAGTTTGGTTTGGTTTTGTTAAAAGTTTTAACCCTCAAGGCGTGCCTGGCTGGCTCGGTCAGTAGACATGCAATTCTTGATCTCAGAGTCATGAGTTTAAGTCCCACATTGGGCATGGAGCCTACTTAAAAAAAAAAAAAAAAGTTTTAACCCCTAAGTAATCACAGTTTCCAAAATCATGAACCTGATCCACTTGGGTAAGTTTAATGGCAATAGCTTGACTATTTATCTTGTTGAAATTTGTTTGTAGAATAATTCAGTAAGAAATGCTAATTAACCATGGAAAGGAAACTGATTTCTTAATCTCCTGTTTTTAAACAATACTCTTATAGAAGAGATAATAAGTGATCATATAAGACTCTTTAGAGAAGAATATCCTTTTCCCTGTATCTTGTGAGCCCTAGTTCTTTTTCTTATAGTTTCTGGATTTCAGTAAGAAAAAAAAATGCAAGAATGGAATTTAAAATGTGAAGTAAATTCAGAGAAACGCAAATTACAACCACAATGAAATATCCTAACACACCTATCAGAACCGCTAAAATAAAAACAGTGACAACAACAAACACCGATAAGGA